TTTTTTTTTTTTTTTTTTTTTTTTTTTTTTTTTTTTATTTTTTTTTTTTTTATTTTATTTTATTTTATTTTATTTTATTTTATTTTATTTTATTTTATTATTTTATTTATTATTCTATTCTATTTTATTTTATTTTATTTATTTTATTTTATTTTATTTTATTTTATTTTATTTTATTTTATTTTATTTTATTTTATTTTATTTATTTTATTTATTATTCTATTTTATTTTATTTCATTTCATTTCATTTTATTCTATTTTATTCTATTTTATTTTATTCTATTTTATTTTATTTCATTATTTTATTTTACTTTATTTTATTTTATTTTATTATTTCATTTCATTATTTCATTTCATTTCATTTCATTATTTTACTATTTTATTTTATTTCATTTTATTTCATTATTTTATTTCATTTCATTATTATTTTATTTCATTTTCATTTCAATTCATTTCATTATTTTATTTTATTATTTTTATTTTATTATTTCATTATTTTATTCTATTGCTTTTATTTATTTCATTTCATTATATTATATTATTTTATTTCATTATTTCATTTCATTTCATTATATTATTTTATTTTATTATTTTATTTTAATATTTTTTATTTTTTATTTTAATTTTAAATTTACTTTTTACTTTCATGTAACACCTTGCAATATTTTAGTTTCCTTTTAAAAATATTGTCAATGGGAAGAAGCTCGATTTTCTTAATGACCGGGTGCCTTACTGAACAATTGCAGCGTTTCGCTTAAAAACCACAGAAGAAAAGGTTGTATAATTGAGCAGGACTCACTTAACAATTGCCTTGCTTACTGACCGATGTTCTGGTGCAAACTCAAGGACCGCCTGTACATGGGAGATAAGAGTATAAATTCTTTAGGGAAGAGACTTGCCTTGTAAAGGTGGGACAAAATGCCGCAAGTCCAGCAGTGTGGAAATTAAAGCAGAATCAAGCAGAAACTAATGCAGAATGAAGCGGAAAAACGGAAGCCTCTTTTGCGGAGGCTTCCGTTTTTCTGCTTTATTCCCAGAATTTCTTTCCAAGTTGTGTTTTTCCAAGTTGTGTTCAGATTATGCTTCCCATGTCTCTGTCCCCCCCGTCCATAACTCCCTCCCCATCGAAACATTTATTCAAAATTCAACAGCACATTTGGGGGGGGGGGAGATTAAATTACTATAGGCAGTAAAGTATGGGAGACACAAACACTGACCAAGTCATCCTTAAAATAATTGCAGATGACAAGGTTCTAACTTGTCCTAAATTCCATTTTTTTCCCCATTTCGGCATCCAATACAGGCAGTCCTCAAGTTACAACAGTCCATTTAGTGACTGTTCGAAGTTGTAATGGCACCGAAAAAAGGGACCTATGTCCGTTTTTCACACTTACGACCATTGCACCATCCCCAGGGTCACGTGAACAAAATTCAGACACTTGGCAACTGACTCGTATTTATGACGGTTTTGGGCTCCATTGTGGTCGTAAGTCGAATACTACCTGTATTCCGCCTTAAATAGTCTTTGAGCAGATGGATGTGAGTTTGTTACGAATTCCGTATCTGATCAGGATTTGAACCTGGGTCTCCTTCCTCCTCTTTTACCCCCTTATGGCTCTCTCTAACCCTCCCATTGACCCAGAGAGAGAGAGACAATGGGGTTTAAGCCCTGAGGTTAAACATGGAAGATTCAGCTCCACCTCCTTATTCTTTCCAGTATCTGATTGGGTGCTACACCCTAGCCTACCTCACAGGGGTGTTAAGCGGATGAAATCAGCCAGTGTAAAACAAGAAGCATCTTTTTTTAATTTTTATTTAATTATCAAATATATTTTGTGGGGCGGGGTTAAAAATGGAAAATGATGGAGATTGTCACAATTTTTTTCTTGGTGTTTTTTTTTTTTAAACCAGCCAGAAATGAGAAGCAGGATACTTGACAATAATAATAAAAAATAATGATAATAAGAGTTGGAAGAGGCCTTGGAGGTCATCTAGTCCAACCCCCTGCTCAGACAGCAAACCCTATATACCATTTCAGACAAATGGCTGTCCAGTCTCTTCTTAAAAACTTCCAGTGTTGGAGCATTCACCGCTTCTGGTGGCAAGCAGTTCCACTGGTTAATTGTTCTCACTG